ACTATACCCACCGCTGCAACTCCTGTGTTGCCAGTATATACAGCTTGACCGCCAATAAAAACCCAACCAGTGAAGGTCAAGTTTGTCCCGGGGGGAAGTTAAACTGCCATTGGATAAGTAACGAAATTAATAAGAAAAACATAGGAGTTCAGCTACTAGCTATATTCATCTTAAGTTCATAATTCCATCGCAGTAGGGGGTCATTCTACACTACGTTATCCAATCGAGAACCCATTTACTTACTTCACCTTTCATTAGTTCTACGACAAGCTAACCCAAAACTCAAAGTTCACTTAACATTACCTCCAAAATGGTGTTCCGCCCGATAAAAATAAAATTGTAGCACATTCACAATCCTCAAACGTCACCTTAGGGCAGTTTCATTTGGTTCGATTCCTCTACCGGTCTATATCATCGCTCTCGGGGGAGTGTTCAAAGGTATGTAATGTCTAATTTGCTGTGTCATTCGTAGGGATGTAGCTACTGGTCGTTTTATCGATAGGTAATTCGGGAAATTTTCACCCCGTTGAAGGCTATTTTCAGTCAGTTGCAATCTACGCTGGTGTTGGGTCTTTATTATACACAATACAATTCACGGGATTCTATTGTATTAAGTTAATTATTCTAATATGGGACTATTCTCAAGCGATCAATAATATTAGTGTAACATAGACTGTGACACCATTTTTCTTCGAACTAACGATATTTTATTATATCGGGACAAATTAATCTCAAGCAGTCAATTAGTGGAATATTTAGAAATATCTCTGTTGTCAACCTTTTTCCCCAAACTATCGATATCTTCTCCCAGTTTTGTAACATCACCAGCTGTCGATATAGTCGGTGTAGGTACATTCTATCGGGACAAGGTGATGTCAAGCGGTCAATTAGTGGCTTAACCTCCTGAGACCCAGACCCCTAAAAATTGTCGGATTGTCTTGAATTTTGGAAGGCAGGCTAAGTTTCATATGTAAAACTAACAAAAAATGCGAAAAAAAATCTAGCCCCCCTACATACGCCAAAATGGGGGGTGTCACCAGTGACACTACGGGTTTCAAAGACATTAAAACGGGCTTGAATTAATTAATATTTTAATTACTTCAGGTATGGTAAAATAGGTGTTTTTAGTTTCAAATTGATCTGCAATTGTTTAGAATCATATAAGATTTACTTTTAACAGCTTTTATTGAACTTGTTATTACAAACTTTAATTTAACTTGCAATAAATGTGTGAATGTATGTTTGAGTAAAATCTTGGAAGCTGAATTAGAGCTACTTCCTGCCAACTGATTGAGCTGAAATTTTGCATAGACATGTTACTCAGATGAGACTTCTATATAATGAGGTCATGGAGCTGATCTGATGATGGAGACGGAAGGTAGCCATAGAAACTCTGTGACTAAACGATGTAACTCTGTCGAGTTTTGACTCATTTGATTGGTATTGACAAGTACTCTGGTCTTGGATGATATCCAGGGTCTGATCTGAGGATGGAGCATAAATTTTTTCATCATCTGTCTCATCAAAGTTGCATAACATTGACTTGACGTTACCATCAGACAATCCTAAAAAGGACCATATTTCAAGTCACGAGTGCCCAAAGTGTCACTAGTGACACTCGAATTAATTGACGAAAATACTTATTACAATAGAAACATTTTAATAGTTTTATCGCACAATCTGAGAGATATATTACCGTAGCACACACAAAACACAAAACAATACCAAAAAAATTGTTTTAAATAATATTTTCTTTTCTTGGAATGTGTCATGTCGGAGGTCACACGAATTCAAAATTTCAATTAATGTTTACAAAATCAAAAACCCTTTCGTGCGAGGCATAGCAATTTTTTGGATATGTGACATATTCCAACATTTCACACACTTTTATTAATTTTCATAAATACCAATAAATGGCGCTGTAAAAAAAATATATAGTCAAGTGTCAAGAGTGACACCGGGGGTCTCAGGAGGATATNGCGTACGTTGACTTTTAGCGGCAAAAACGGCCTATGTTTATTACTTAATATCTTCGTAAATAATGGTCCGATTTGGATAATTCAAAAAGATATATCTTTCTTATGTCTTAAAGATTAACGTAGATACTAGTTTTATTGAATTTTCTACAACAGTACTGATCCTCATTACGACCACTGCTGGACAAAGATCTCCCCCAAGGATTTCCACAACTACTGGTCCAGTGTTTTTAACATAATGGAAAAATATAAAATAATTTTATTTTCAAAAATTCAATAAACTAACTAATACGTCATTCATATTTTATGTGTAGCTTGATGTGCTTTAGCTGTTATCCTTAGGGTGGATTCGACAAACAAGAGTAAATATATTAATCTCAGAATAAATCGTCAGTTATTCGACATTTTGGTATATTTCCCATACTGAAACTTTCAATGTGCCAGTTGTTATTCTCGGATAAAAGTTTGGTCGAATCGGGTCTTAGAGATTATTATTTATTATTCTGTATCCTTACATAAAGTGTGATTTTTATTCTTAATTGACTCCAGACTCGAATTTTCAGTAGACCACGACAATACTAACAACCATTGCTTTTTTACACGGCTCTATTTGTTCTACTTACCTAGGAGAACCAGACTGACTGACATACCCCGCAGAATCGCTAAAATCAAGTGGCAGTGGGCGGGGCACATAGCTCGTAGAGCTGCTGGCCGCTGGGGCAGGAAAGTTCTTGAGTGGCGACCACGAGCCGGAAGACGTAGCGTGGGCAGGCCTCCCACTAGGTGGACCGACGATCTTGTGAAGGTCGCGGGAGGTGCCTGGATGCGAGCGGCGCAGGATCGGTCTTAGTGGAAATCCTTGGAGGCCTTTGTCCAGCAATGGACATCTTTCGGCTGAAACGAACGAACCTATAAGTCGTAATTAAGATGTTCTTACATACTTAAACAGATTTTTTAAATCAATTAGATGAGGCCATCATAATAGAATAGGTAGTTAATTACGTCATCGTCCTTCGTTGTTACGAATAAAATTTGCGTTGATTGATTGTACAGATGCGGGCACATGAGCTTAAAAAACAGAAATATACAAAGTTCGTCATCAAGCGGGTTTTCCACCGCGAGCGATGACTCCGTTTACCTTGCAATATAAAAATGCATGGGCAGCCCTCCCACTAGGTGGACCGACGATCAGGTGAAGGTCGCGGGATGAACCTGGATGCGGGCAGCGCAGGATCTGTCAGATATCCTTGGGGGAGACCTTTGTCCAGCAATGGACGTCATTTGCACTTATCTATAATTTATTTATTTATTAAAGACGCAAAACAGATTAGGTACAATGAAGGTTTCACAAATGCATATGTTTTGTCTTCATAGGGGTCACTTAAAAATTAGGTAGAGATTGATGGTGAAAACGGGCATTAATCCGGCACTGGGTAGCAGGAGGCGATCATCATCAATTTTATCATGTCTGCTGTCTCGAAATCGGATCAAAGTAATTCTATTGACACACCAATTTTGTGTCCTCGTATAGGTAAAATTATAGAAAATAACATAATTCTTCTAAATAATGGAACTAATTTCATTAAGAAGGCCGTAATTTGAAAACCATTTCAAGGATGTAACCAAATCTCTCATTCTTCTAGTCGTTTTCTTATTTCACAAACTAGCGGCCGCCCGCGACTTCGTAGGTACGCGTGGATCCCATTTTACCCTCTTAGGGGTGGAGTTTCGTAAAATCCTTTCTTAGCGGATGCCTAGCCTAGGTACGTCATAACATCTACCTGCATGCCAAATTTCAGCCCGATCCGTCCAGTGGTTTGGGCTGTGCGTTTTAGAGCGTTTACGCGAAGCGCGGCGTTTCAAGGGGCATCATTGGAAATTATTCGCGCGCGGCGTTTTTTAATAGTTTTCAAATGTTTATAGCAAAACAATAACAATGAATTAAATATCGTTTCAAAGTAAATATTTTAAAGAAGATGTTGTTTTATTATATTAAGCTATTTTTATGTTGAATAAAGGAAGAAAATTGGTGAAAAAATCACTTTGATTTTTGGGTATTTCACGTTCTTTTAATTTCTTATTGTAAAATGCTTTCTTTTAATTTCTTATTGTAAAATGCTTAAATCTAAAAATTTTCTTAGATAACTATTTGCCCAAGGATCTATGCTATAGGATATAAATGTTTGTGAAATCGTTTTCACAGTATTTTTATAAAAATTTCAGCTTGTAAACTGACGCTAAAGTGGAAATTTACAAAACCTGTGTGGACTTATCTTGATAGAATTCTTAAATACTACTAAACTAATCGCAATATTTTCTCAATTAACTATTTAGACGACGAAATTGCCTAACTATTTATGCCTATAACATATTTGTAGTATTACTGGTTAATGATTGTAACGAGTTGAAAAAGTACTGTTTTTGCGCCAAACGGCGTAAACGCTCAAACCTTTTCAAAAGTATAGGAATGTTTTCTTTGAGTAAAATTTTCTATCTACAGTATTAACAGTACTTTCCCTCCACGTGGCGTTACCAAATTCCACCCTGTATATAGGTACAGTAGCGGCGTAAGGGGGGGGCGGTGGGGGCGGTCCGCCCCGGGTGCCAAGCATCAGGGGGTGACACAAGTCGCGCAGATTAGTACTCACTGGCACATCTGCATGGCAAATCTGCGGTCTATGTCCAATCTTCGAATCGGTAGGTAACCCCAAAATCCTGGGGGGGTACCAGGGGGTGTCATAGGACTTGTGANACCCATGCTACGCCGCCACTGTATAGGTATTTAGATTGCTAACTCGGCGAACTTCGTACCGCCTTTGTTCATTAGATAATATTATGATTCTAATGGTGAAAGTGAAAACATTTTCACAAAAGCTCTATTAGTTACGTGTTCACACGACAATCCAGTTTTTCTGCATTACTGGATCCCGCAAAACTGCATTGCCCCGAAAACAAGCCCTAAGTGTAAATGTAGAAGAGGTGAAAGTGGACTCAATAATTAATTTTCCAAAATTTTCCTTTCAGACTGCTTCGAGAGAATATCCATTGGAGAACAACTACCACCCGACGCCATCTATCGGAACGTGTCGGAACTAACTACTCGCGAGTGCGAACAAATCTGCAAGCAGGATAAGCAGTGTCAGACCTACGACTATGGGTAAGTGTATGAACGTACTAGATGGCGCTGTTAGTTTTATAGTGGGTGTCATAGATGGCAGCACATGTTTTCTTTTTAATTTCTTGGCATATTTATTTAGTGTTAATTTATACTTAATATTAATACCATATAGAAAAAATACTCGAATGCTTTATAAAAATAAATGGATTTATGTTTGTTACTCATTCATGCAAAAAATGCTGAACGGATTTTGATAAAATATTACAAAATCAGAATAGGACATAAGCTATTGTTTATTAAAATTCTCGTGGAGGAGGCTGCGGCCAGAAACTAGTTGATTTTCAATTTCTTTACTTTGGTTGATTAGTAGGTACGACTTGTAATTTTTTTTGTTACTTTCTAGGGTCGGAGCTAAAGGCAACGCGACATGCAACCTCAGCATACTCAACGAAAAGGAGCTGAAAGAGAAAAGCCTTCTTCGACGTCACCCTGACTACGACGTCTACATACGTCGCATCCTATGCGAGCAATCTCCCCCCTCCCCCCTCCAACCACAGTTCGATGACCCTGGAGATGGTCCAGGGCCTGTCCACCGGCCCGTCTTCAGACCTGATGACGACGAGTTCAAACGCCCTTTAAATGACTACCCAAGTGACTCCAGACCATATGAAACGAGACCAGACCTGATCAAACCAATTCCTCCATACAGACCCCCATATAACAACCACATAGACAACGACAGACCTGATGACTATTTTAATCAGAAACCAGCATTTGATAGCCCTCCAAGTTATGGTGCCCATAAGCCCCAAGATATCCCATATAGACCCCACAAGCCGTACCAAAACCAGTCTTCTCACAAACCAGATCCATATGATGAGCTGCAATTCCAAGGACCTTACAGACCATCAAGGCCTTTGGACCCATCGTTTTGGAGACCAGATCCGTACCATCCTCCTCATTTGAACGATGAGTTACCAGATTTGTATGGCCCGAAGCCCATCAGGCCTAGTCGACCTAATAATATAGACCCATATCAGTTAGAAAAGCCACAATATCATTACATAATCCGGCCCAATCGTAGACCCAGGCCAGAACTAGACTCAGGCTATGGAGTGCAGCCTTTGAAGCCTGATTATCCGACTAAACCAGATCCGTATGGCCAGCAAGACTCAGGCCACCCATCTGGGCCTGTAGGCCCACCAGATCCGTATAAGCCTTCGCAAGACTACCCATCTAGGCCGTACAATAAACCAAGCTATAGTTACAACAGTCAATACGCTAGCAGCTATGGGCAATCTCAAAACCAGGACAATTCTATTTACTTGGAAATATACGACTCTCCCAGTCCATATAGGCCTCCAAAAAGGCCAGTAAACGACAGGCCAAGTTATGGTCCAGGGCAAAGTGGATATGGGCAAAATTATGGCTATGGAGACCAAGGGATCTATGGTTATGGCAGCCATTCATCTCACAACTCATTCTCATCCAATAGTCACTCTTATGGTCAAAGTAGTATAACAGAACTTGATCAGAACTACCACCGCCCTCAAGACTCAGGGTATAGACCTTCAAAGCCTGCATACGATAGTCACAATTCAGGGTATGGCTCCAGTAGTGACACTACCCAAGGCTATGGCCCTCAGACGCAGAAACCGACTACTCAAAGACCTTCGTATAGCAGCAGTCAAGGATATGGTGGAAGCTCGCAAAGCTCTCAATATGGAAGTGATCATAGTGACGCATCCTATGGGTCTCAATCTTATGGGGGTAGCAATCGACCCTCATATAACCAAGATGACAACGATAGTGGTTACGGTCTACAAAAGCCTCAGAAACCAAACGATTCCAATCAAAAACCCTCGTATGGAAGCGACCAAGGATATGGTGGTGGTCAACCATCTTATAGTCCCAGCAAACCAAATGATGGTGGTTATGGTGGAAGTCAAGGTTCTTATGGGAGTCATCAGTCATTTGGCTATACCGAGCATCATGACAGTCAGTATTCATCTCACCAAAGCAGCCAATCCGCTGGTTATGGTATAAGTAGACCTCCTTACTCTGATAGTCCTTCGTATTCAGATAATCGACCAGGGTATGGAGGGAACAGACCCTTAGGAGATAAAAGACCTTCGTATGATAGACCATCGTCTTCTTATAACGATAAACCTCCATACAGCAATGACAGGCCTTCATACGGTAGTGAAAAGCCATCTTATAGCAATGATAAGCCAAGCAATGATAACAGGCCCTCATATGGGAATGATAGGCCTTCATATGGGAATGATCGGCCTTCTTACGGTAATAATAAACCGTCATACAGTGACAAGCCTTCATATGAAAGTGACAGGCCTTCATATGGAAATGATAGGCCTTCATATGGAAATGATAGGCCTTCATACGGAAATGATAGGCCTTCATATGGAAATGATAGGCCTTCATATGGAAGTGATAGGCCTTCATATGGAAACGATAGGCCTTCTTACGGAGATAGGCCATATGAAACTAGCAGACCTGGCTATGGCGATACGAGCAAACCAAGTTATGATAATAGACCAGCTTATGGTGAATCTACTAAGCCTTCATATGATAATAGGCCTTCATACGGTGACAGACCTTCATATGAAAGTAATCCTCCTTCATACGGAGATAGTCGTCCTTCATTTGACAATAACCGACCTGATCCTTCTTACGGTAATCGTCCTTCATACGGCAGTGCTCAAGAATCTTCACAATCCGGTTACGGTTCTGAAAACGACTACAAGAACTCAGGTTACGCAAAACCGGGTCAAAAACCCGGTTCAAAACCGGTCGGAACCAGACCGAATCAGACGGATCTGGATCGACCTAATATAAAACCGGTTTACGAGTATGAGCTGGAGAAACCAAATAATGTACCAAGTTATATAGTAAGACCTAGTGGAGAAGTGATCACTTCAAGACCTATGACTGTTGGTGATTATGGTGATAAGCCTGGACGAAGAGACCCTGGTTATCCTGGTGCCCCGGTGTCTTATAAAGGTCAGTCAAACTTTTATATTCTTTATAAGTGGTATAAGTAGTATGTAGGCAGTTTTCATGGTAGGTAGTTATAGCAAGCTTGCTTACCACCACTTTGGGACGACAAATTCTAATTAAAATTATTTATTGGTAAAAGTAAGGCCCTTTTTAGGGTATTTATACACGTTTAACTAATTTGGCTTGCCCTACCACCATTTTGGAACAATTTATCAGCTGGTGCTGAAAACAAGTGGCAGAAAAAACTCAGTCCTAACATTACTTACTAGTAGAACTGTGGTGGTAGTCCACAAACTAGGTAACTTAAGTCTGTCTTTCAGAGACAGAAAATCAATTTAAGAATAGTACCTAATACCTATGTAAAGTAATGCACTATTTTATTACTAATTTAGACTATTGGACCACCATTTCAACTCCACCCTGTATAAATAGTTCAAAACTCTATAGTCAGAGTAAAACCATGATTAACATTTTGAGCTAGGCAAGGCAAGAAAAATTCATACACTCTTGTCATATTTAAAGACATTAACCAAGTATTTAGCGTCCTACTGACCAAAATATTAATTAAATAAGTAGCACAAAAGTCTATAAATTCACTAAAACCATGGATAAAATCAACCATTAACCTATAACCTCCAAAGCTTATCAACATCACCACCCAAGGCGACCCGGAGGTTAAACAATGCACAATTATACCGAATGCAATTAATTGACACGGAAATTAAGTTGTAAATAATTTGTAGTTATCCATTTGAAAGGACAAGTCTTAGGCGAATGTCGGCTCGGCGCCATTCCCACAAACTTTGAGGCAAATATGTTGGTAAATAAACATGTCGTTATGTTGTTAAGAATTGTCTAGGGCCTAGGTGTTCCGGCCATGTCAAAATTTTATTTAGTATAGGTAATTATTCACTAAATAAATGAATAGTCGGCCGTACTAAGGACAATCTGTTCAAGTAGAGATTCTTGGATGGCTCAAACTTTGAGTGCAAGACGCAAGTGTGGTTTAACATGATGTCATGTCCTGTGCGCCCAAAAAACTGCACGCAGGAAGGCTATTGACAGCGCCACTCTAGTGGCGGAGTTTTGGGCTGACAGTGTACACAGTGACAAGAAGAAGAATAATATTTTCAAAATACAAAATGCCTGAGCATAATAAACTCCAATTTTAGAAAATAAAACATTTATCATATAATATACATTATGAAACCTAATTGATACGGTGGTATCTACATAAAAACAGTACCTAGGTTATCAGTTGTCACATACGTAGGTAACGACTTACTAAGGTACAACTCCAGTTTTGCACAATTATTAATGTACGAGTATAATCACCAGTAGTGAAGGCAAAAGTGTGAGAGAGGCCAGAGTGTAGGGCAAATCCTCCATTTGCCTCTGGTAAATTAGAAAGTCGTGCTCCTGAAGACGGAAAAACTAAATGATGATGATGATGATGATGATGAAGGTAACCTGCAATTCAAAATTCAAATTCAAATCGTTACAAAAGGGCGATGATGGACGATGACTGAAAAAGTTTTTAAAACTTTGTATCATAATAATTAACATTATGTTAAATCCAGTTAACTCTGTCTTAACATTGTATTTAGATTTTGAATATTCTTATTCAAGCAATGTCACAATTAAGTAACGAACTTATTGTTACAGAATGTAATATTACAATGTACAGTTTGTGTTAAAAATATCCGTTTTTAATATTCTGTTAATGAGATAGATTGAGGGGACAGGGTGCAAAATGTTTTATCTATAACGCTTAGTACTTCACATAGTTCACGAATGTTCAAAGTAATGTAGCTCCATAAACTGAATAAATTGAAAAAATATTTTTTTTTTCATAAAAAATATAATTAATTTACTTAAAACAAAAGACAGGCAGACAGGATGACAAACAAAGGAAGAACAAAGAGATTATAAAAATTGTTTAGTTTAATTACAACAAAAAATATATATAAACAGCGTGTGCAAAATATTTACGTAAACCCTATTATGCAGATATTTTTTTGTGTTGCTTTCTCACAGCACTGGTTTTAAATATCGTCTCAATAAAGCAGCACCATTCAGTTGGGCAAACAAAAAAAAATTTTTTTGATAAAAACTTCTAACTCAGTCCCCTGGCCCAAAAAATTCAAAAGCGCCATTCCAGCAGACATCAAACAAACATAATGTGTTATCAGTCCATCACAATGAAACAATGCACTGAGCCGAGGTTGTCGGCTCTTCGCAGCCATGTGTCACATTATAATGTAATGGACATTTAGAACGAATTCGTGTGACCGAAAATAGGCGAGATTTTTCATAAGGTCTAAAAAAATATAGTGGAACTTATAACCTCCTCCTTTTTTGGAAGTCGGTTAAACAGAGGACATCATCACCATCGCATTGAGCCTAGACGCAGACCACTTTTAGTTGTCCGATAGTTGGGCCCGATTCTAATTTTTTATGAAGAAGCGGCCGATACCAAATTGGTGTAATGAGCGCACTTCCATACATCTTCTCAGTCGGTACACTCTTGTCAGAGTGGTCGTGGTCATCATTTTGAATCACGATTCAGAGTGATGTTCCTCGTAATATGGCGCCATTCCTCGCGGACTGCAGCTTTCCGGGTACTTTCGCTAACCGAGCACTTAGTTGCGGCCCTGATCTGGTCCGTCCATCTCATTGGTGATCTACCACTCTGGTGCCCTCAACTTTTCCCTGCACGCACTACCTACTTCCATACATGCCCATACTGATTAACAGCCAGATTCAACTATCGGCCGACTAAAAGTCGGTGGTTTGCGCCTAGGCTAATAGAATAACAAATTGTCAATTTTCGGATTTCTTTCTTTACTTGTGCTGTAAGTTTCATTCTTGCTAACTTTCATGATTCTAGATCTATTGAAAGGACCTTATGGGTTTTTTTTATTATCCTGCGAAGTGTCAGAAAATAAAGGCTAAATAAATATAATAATTCTCTTTAATTTGAGTTCAATGTTCAAGGGACCATAGCTGACATGGATATTTTTTTTTATAATTTCAACTTGATTCTTAACTACGTGTTCCGGAGAAAAAAAGGTGTTGATAGACAATCAAAAAAGTGATCCTATAAGACTTCAGTTTTACCTTTTGAAGACCAGAGCCTTAAAAAGGTATTTAAGGATAACTTGGTGTTCTTTGATCACTCATGGATAAGATCACCTAGGTGATCAAATTTAACTTCTTATCCATGGGTGATCAAAGGACACCGAAGTGTCGCTTGGAGTCTACTTTCCACCCAGGTGATCAAATCCAGTTGATCAAAGTGGAAGACCTTAAAAAAGGTTTCGTGCAAGAAAATCAAATTAAAACCCATTCGTTTCAGCCAAATGACGTCCACTGCAATCCAATGACGGACAAAGGCCTCCCCCAAGGTTTTCCACAATGAACGGTCCTGCCAGCGCTGCCCGCTCTTCCCGCGACCTTTACCAGATCGTCGGTCCACCTAGTAGGAGGCCTGCCCACGCTACGTCTTTCAGCCCGTGGTCGCCACTCGAAACCATATTGTGACCAAAATCTGTGACCGCAGTCAAAATAAAAGATATTCAGATAGATATAGCCTTCGTTTGACCATCACGCCTCGTAGCATATACCCTATGACATAATTTGTCATTTGAAAAACTATTTCCTACATTGTGCAGTGTGCGTCAAACTTAACATAGTATAGCCTCTATTGCAGCAGCAATAGGAGTTATTTTTCAACATAAATGTAAAGTATGATGTGGTGATAATGTGCAAATGAGAGCAAAAAGTCAAAGTCAAGCCAAGGTCTTTATTAAAAACGAATTTAAAACACCATAAAGTGGTGATTTACGGAAACATGCCTTAGCAATGGGGTTCTGGTAGAGAAGAATAAGACCATATCCACTCTTCGATAGATAACGTAAGAGGCAACTAAGGGATCATCATTACTAGCTCAGCCACAGGACGTCCACTGCTGAACATAGGCCTCCCCCAATGATTTACATATTGGCCCGTTGGTAGCAGCCTTCATCCAGCGCTTTTCTGCTACCTTTAGGGGGCGTCCATAAATTACGTGAGACCTTTAGGGGGGGGAGGGGGTCAACAAAAACCTCACTAAATCTCACGTGGGGGAGAGGGGGGGTCTCAGGAAATATCACGTAATTTTTTCCGCAAGAAATAGAGAAATGGAGTTTGCCCGAAAACTGGGTTTAAATCTTAAGTAAAGGCCAAGTGAGTGTCGTGACACGCGCAGTGTAGGGTTCCGTAGTTGTCCGTCGTTAACAAAATATATTTCAGAAGCAAGCAATTACTTTATCTGAAGTCGCTTTTAATATTTTTTTCTAAGGAATTTTTATTAGATATGAAATTTTATAATAACTACATGAGTTAAATGACTATTACTCTTAAACTAACTGACCTACCCTAACCGTTATAGTTTTCTTGAAAGTTCATTAAAAGCAGTATTATTATGAATTTTTCCAAATTTTTCAAGCCAACAGTCTAGTTTTTAGAGGGGGGACGCCCTGCTCGAACAAAAATTGGCACTTTAAACTTTAATAGTTTGCAAACGGATCCCTAAATCGAAAAATAGTCTTTGAAACCCCCAAGTCATCCAACGATATCCTACACGATAGTGTAGAAGATGAAAAAAATTCATCCCCACTTTACATGTACCCTAAAAAAATTTATTTTCATAATTTTATTCTACCGTTTTGTCGGCGTTATTAATATACATACCTCCACAAAATTACAGCTCTCGGACAGACAGACATATCGAAACTATAAGGGTTTCTTGTCAGGACTACGGGACCCTAAAAAATTATATTTTTTATGATGATAATGACATTTTATTCTTTAAATTCTAAACAAATAAAACTAACAATGCTTCCGTCTGCATGTGTGAATACTAAAATGCAGAATAAATGACGAAATTAAGAAAATTTTGGATTTTTTTAAATATCACGTGAGATTAAGGGGTGGGGGAGAGGGTCAGGCAAAATCTCACC